ATTCTAAAGAGAATTCCAGGAGAATTCCAGGGGTGCGAGATAATTCCAGGGCAGGACGGCCCGCAGGCCAGAACAGTTGGGAAGCACAGGACGTTCTCGCAGCGCGCCTCCTGAACATCCTCAGACTCAGCCTGGACCACCATGTAACGGCCAGTGTGTCCGAGTGCCAAAACTTTCCTTTGCTCTAAGAGTCGAGAGCGGAGGTTGCCACGAGTAACCAAAGGATCCACCCGAGGTTAGCACCAGCAGCAAGCTTCGTGAACAGGTCGGAACTGTGGACAGCTGAATCAGTATTCAGAACTAGCGCTTCATCTGGCCCACCACACTCTGAAATTGAGTGTGTACCTTTTTTTTAACCTAGCTAAAACAGAACAGAACAGACAAAGTCTTTTTTCACCATAGTAAATATCGTGATCATTAACCAATATTAACAACAATCACACACAACAAAATCTCACCAAAATATATAAAATCCACATATAAGCTGGTGTGATCCTGGTCGGTATCTGGATGGGAGACCTCCTGGGAAAGCTAAGGTTATTGCTGGAAGAGGTTTTAGAGGGGCTAGGAGGGGGTGCTCAAACTGCAGTCTGTGTGAGTCCTAATGGCTCTGTATTGTGACAGGGATCTTATACTGTAAAAAGGCGCAGTCCTTTGGATGAGACATAAAATCAACGTCTTAACTCTCTGAGGTCATTAAAAATCTCAGGGTGTTTCTTGAAAAGATGGTGTTAACCGGCATCCTGGCTGAATTTCACTACTCATGGTGTCCTAATAATCCCTGTCTATGAATTAGCTTCATCCCTCTGCTCTTCTCCCCACTGAGAGCGCATGTGTGGGGAGTGTACTGGTGCACTATGGCTACTGTCACATCATCCAGGTGGGGGCTACAATATTTATTGCACAATAAATATCACTAACTGTGAGGTCTCACAACTAAAACAGCAAATCAGATAAGTCCTGCTGTCATGAAGACAAAGGAGCTGCCTGTGGAACTTTGATAAGAAGTTGTTAGGAGGGAAAAACCTGAAGAAGGTTAAAAAGATTGTAAAGCTTTGAACCTTCCTAGGAGCACTGTGAAGTCCATTGTAACAAAATGGGAAAAAAACATGGCACAAGCCAGATACTACTAAGATCATACTACCAAATTGAGCAACTGGACAAGAAGGGCAATTGTCAGAAATGTGACCAAGAGGCCAGCTACAAAACTAACAGAGCTGCAGAGCTCTTTGGCTGAAATGGGAGAAACTGTCTAGAGATCAACAATCTCTTCAGCACTTCCCAGATTCGGCCTCCTTGGGAGAGTGGC